ATTTCTTGACGTCTGTATAGGTTGTCTCTGTGTCCATGGTTGCGAGTCCTACACCACCAGGAAGTCCCAGACAATAATCATTTGCATCATTCCAATTCATACCTGTGTCGGTGTCTGGATTTTTACAGTAGGCTTGGTATTCGTAACAAGTACATTGGTGGGACGTGTCTAAAGGAATGTAAATAGAATATATATTGACAATGTTATTGCGTATTTATAAATATTAAACAATTTCAGCGATTCTTCTTTAAAACTGCTTCAGATAGTTTTTTTTATAGTTTTTTAAAATCAACATTACACCAAATAATTATCAAAATTCTACACGTAATTACAAATAAAAGCAAATAACTGACACACTTCACAAAACACGTGTCTTAAACATGTGTCCACACTTATTCAAAATAGTACATGAAATGGACCTCAATATAAAATATTCAACTTACAATATTCAGCATATGACATGCCAACCAATACAAGAAGAGTCAATACAAACAACATTTCGAGGTCTTCCAAATTCCTGGTGATTGAACACACATTGAATAACATTGATGTCAGCTGTTGTCGTAACTATATGTTCCGCAAATCAACTATCCATTGCTAACCAACCAGTAATTTCATGTCCAGTTACCGTATTTTATCAACATTAGTTAACACATATTTAGTAAATAAACAAACAATTGACTATTTTGTTAAACATGATGTTTTCACCAATGTTTTTTTTACATGAAATAGAATAGTAACAACGTTGTACCCAGTTCATGTACAAGTGATTACAGAATTACGACAATAAAACATTACTTACTTCAGTTCAACACTTTCTGATTTCCCACGGGCCCAGTCAAGCCAGAATAAATATAGTGGATTTAGATGGTATTTTATAGATAAAGCATAAAGGGGTGTCACTCTTCAAAATAACTTAGAAAAAACAAAATCCTGTCATGATAATATCGTGCATGTGTCCCTAAAATACAAGTAAGCCACCCCTGTAATAACGTCACTAATCACGTGTCGTTTCATCTACCCCGCATTTCTTTGATATCCCGAGCTAGTATTAAAGTCTAAATTGCGGTCAAACCGTATGGACGTCCTCTCAGAATACAA